GCTGCTGCTCTCGGGGCAGCACGAGCTGGCGCGGAGCCATGTTCAAGCCTCGCTCGCGTGGGGGCCTCCACGACGCCTGGGGGCGCAGTCCGCTGCTGCTTGCGCAGGCGCGTCTGCCCTGTCTTTACTTCCGCTGGTCTCCACCACCGAGGGTGAGAACTCAACCCTCCGATTCGTCGACGACGAGGCCCGCTCCGGAGTGCCCGATGTCCTGCCCCTGCCTGTCGAGCGCCCCTCGTAGCCGGTCCGAGCACCGCGGGTGCTTCATGAATCGTGCCTCTCCTCCTGGTCCCCTCCTCGCCCGTCCCCCACATCTCTCCCCCTCCTCGCCGTCGCACTGCGCTCATGGCCGGAAACGTCGTCGAAGTCGTCTGCCGCGCCCTCGTGTGTCCTTGTCCGCATCCTCGTCCCCGCCCGCCTCTCACGAAAGCGAGGGGGAGGGGATTTGACTCAGGGGGTGGTACCATCGACCTGGAATCGACGGTACATCGTCGATAGATCGGCAATGGGCCCCCGGTAGCAAGTCCGAAAGCTCCTGGGCGGAGTGGTCTAACAGGCCCATGCCGGCGACGAGTGGGCGACTGGGGGTCGATGCGTTCCCCGCTGAACCTGTTCCCCCCCTTGCGTTGTCCCTGATAAAAGGCAGCCGTGACCCCGAGCCGCGGCTAACAGCGGCGTCGAGGGCCCCCCCGAGAGCCCACAGAGCCGAGGAGACCCGTCGCAATCGCCGTCGATGGCGCAGACGTCCGTCGCCACCGTCATCGCCGCCGTGGTCATCCACCGCCGTCCTCGCCGTCGGCCGTCGTCACCGCCGTCGCCGCCGACATCGGCCGCCGTCGCCGTCGCCGTCGCTCGTCCGTCGTCCACCGCCGTCGCCCGCGGTCGCCACCGCCGCCGCCGCCGCCGCCGCTGTCGACGTCGTCGTCGTCGTCGTCGTCGTCGTCGTCGTCGTCGTCGTCATCGTCGTCGTCGTCGTCGTCGTCGTCGGTCGTCGTCGTCGTCGTCGTCGTCGTCGTGGTCGGTCGTCGTCGCCGCCGTCGCCGTCGCCGCCGCTCGTCCGTGGTCCGCCGGCGTCGCCTGCGGTCGCCACCGCCGCTTCCGCTGCCGCTGCCGTCGTCGTCGTCGTCGTCGCCGTCGCCGTCGTCGTCGTCGTCGTCGTCGTCGTCGTCGTCGTCGTCGTCGTCGTCGTCGTCGTCGTCGTCGTCGGTCGTCGTCGCCGTCGGTCGTTGTCGCCGCCGTCGCCGCCCATCGGCCGCCGTCGCCGTCGCTCGTCCGTCGTCCGCCGTCCGCCGCCGTCCGCCCGCCGCCGCGGCGCCACCGTGACCGTCCGCCGCCGTCCGCCCGCCGCCCACCGCGGCGGCAGTCGGCGACCGGCTCCTCGCCGATGCGGGAGGCGTGCTCGCCCACGCGGCCCCCGAGCACCTCGCGAGGGGGGCGCCCGGCGGCGGCGGCGGCGGGCCCGCCGTGCGGCGGCCGACGCGCAGAGCTCGCCACCGCACCGTGGAGACAGAAGCACGACGGCGAGCACATGATGGGCCAGTTCTCTCCACCACTTCTAACGTAGGTAGGAGAGGGAGGAGAGGGAGGAGGAGGAGGCGGACGAGGAGGAGGAGGCGGAGGAGGAGGAGGAGGAGCGAGGGGGAGGAGGAGGAGGAGGAGGAGGAGGAGGAGGAGGAGGAGGAGGAGGAGGAGGAGGAAGAGAAGGTGGAGAAGGAGGACGAGGAGGAGGAGGAGGAGAAGGAGGAGAGGTAGGAGGAGAAGGAGGACGAGGAGGAGGAGAAGGAGAAGGAGGAGGAGGAGGAGGAGGATGTCGAGGAGGATACGAGGAGGAGGAAGAGGAGAAGGATGAGGAGGAAGAGGAGGAGGACCTCCCCATCCTTCCTTCTCCCCCGTCCTACCTATGGTAGCAATGGTGGAAGGTTGACCGCCCATCAGCACACGCGCGCGGGCACAAGCTCGCGACGTCGGCGCGGTTCGCAGCAGCGCGAGCAGGGAGCACGAATGTTTGGGGGCCCCTTGTGCTGTCCCCAGCAAGGGGGCGCCGCAAATCTGGCCAAAGTCGACGCGCTCCCCCAGAAGGGCGACCGCGGCAGCCCCCCGCGCGGCTCGAGCCGGCAGCACCTGCGGCCGACGCGACGAGCTCCGCTCCGCGTGGCCCCGCCCCTCCCGAGGACATGGTGCGGCCGACGCGCGGGGCTCACCCGCGCGCCGCGGCAAGTGCCGTGCAGACCGCAAAACAGAAGCTCCTCAGAACATTCCTCGGTGTTCCCTGGTGGGCCTATGGGCACGCCAGGACGCTCAGCCACCGCTTGATCGACCTCCCCAGACCCCCCCCGACGTCGACTTTTTCACAGCGTCGACCCCCAGAGGTCTGGACCCCTTCCCCGGGACCGGTTTTTCATCCTGAAACGTGTTTGGATGGTCCCGAGGCCCAGCGAAGGCCCCCAGAGGCCGAAGATAGTTAGCAAGAAACCTCCCGTCGGGATTTTTTCACAATGCGAGGGGTCTGGATGCGAAGGCGGATGATGATGATGATGATGATGATGATGATGATGATGATGATGATGATGATGATGATGATGATGATGATGATGATGAGGATGAGGATGAGGAGGGTGAGGAGGAGGAGGAGGATGAGGGCCAGGAGGAGGAGGGGGAGCAGGAGGAGGTGGAAGCGGAGGAGGGGGACAACGAGAAGGAGGAGGAGGAGGAGGAGGGTGAGGAGGAGGGGAGAGGGAGGAGGAGGAGGAGGAGGAGGGGGTGAGGAGGAGGAGGAAGAGGAGGAGGAGGAGGAGGAGGAGGAAAAGGAGGAGGAGAGGAGGAGGAGAAGGAGGAGGGAGGAGGAGGAGGAGGAGGAGGAGGAGGAGGAGGAGGAGGAGGAGGAGGGGGAGGAGGAGGAGGAGGAGGAGGAGGAGGAGGAGGAGGAGGAGGAGGAGGAGGAGGATGAGAAGGACGAGGAGGAGGTCTGGGTCTCCCGCCGTGATTGTTACCCCCACGGCGCGAGGCCGTCTGGGCCCCCGGGGGGGCAGGCGAGTCGACCCCCCCCCGCGGGCCTGTTCCGGAGGGGGGGGGGGCGCGTCCTGGCAGTCCGAGGCGGGTCTTTCGCGGGCAATATTTATATCCATATCCAGTGCGTCTTGGACTTTCTTGGAAGGGGCGCCGCAAGGCCGAGGCGACCTGGATATGGATAAAAATTGAGCCTCTTGGAGGCAGATTATAATCCATATCCAGTGCGCCTCATGTTTCTTGGGAAGAGAGTCCGAAACTCCAAGACGCACTGGATGTGGATAAAGACATTGCCCGCAGGGGGGGGGTGGGGGGCGCGTCCTGGCCCTGGTGCAGTCCGAGGCGGGCCCTTGGCTCAGGTCGGGCGTGTCCCCCTACAGTGGGATTTGGGACGAGGAATCAAAAAGAGTCCAACAAATGCACCCCAAAATGCGTACAGTACCAAAAAAATAGTCCCCCGAGTATTTGTCCGATTTTTGAATATTGCAGGGTAGGGTCACCACGCCGTCGGGGCCCCCCCGGCCGCGCGGGGTGGGGGGGCCAGCCAGACCGCCTGCGCGCAAGAGGCCCTCGTACGCAGCAGCAGCCTGCCCTCACTCCCCCAAGACGGCTCCAAGAGTTCTCGTCGTCGCCGTCCTCGTCCTCCCCTTTCTCGTCCTCCTCCTCCTCCTCCTCCTCCTCCTCCTCGCCCTCCTCTTCCTCTGAGCCTCTTAGCTTCCTACTTGTCCTCCTGGGGGGATCGCCGGCTGTCCGCCGGCCGAGGCGCCCTCGTTCTGCTTCCGGCGGCTTCCGCCGAAGAAGAGATATCAGCAAGGACCGACCACAACGATGTTCAAAACGCGTTGGCGTTTAGAACGAAAATGAAAACGAACACCATACGAGTGCAAACGACGACAAACACGAGACCACTCAACGGAATCACAGTGGAAAAAACAAAACGAAAAACAGCACGAGGGCCGAAGCCTGACTAAACATCGTTGTGGTCGGCCACTGGACATCAGCTCTATCGAGCGCCGACCACCCGCGAAAGGCCTGGCCGCCTCGCTCGGGGCATCGGGCGCACGCCTCAGGCAGAGCGCGGCACCAGGGCCTAACAGCACGGTAGGGCACCCACCAGTGTAACCTCCGACCTTCAAAGCCACAGGGACGTGGACGATGCCGTACAGGCGTGGTGCAACATGAATGGCTTGAGCATGTTCCCGGCGTAGTTTGTTCAGCATGCTGCAGACATACCTTTCAACGCAAAGTGGATGCCAGTGGCTTTGAATACGCATGATCGGCAATAGGTGTGCTGCTCATTCCCCGCGTGGGTAACCATATTTGCTCTGACCTGTGCGGCTGTTGATGCCAACATCAAATTCATCTGGGCCGCACAACGAGACGAGTCTTACCGTAAGACTCGCGATGCCATGTTGTGTGAGACTGTTGCGCAAAATGGCATAGCGACCTCACGCCACGGCTTGAGCGGGCCGACAGCGAGGCGCGTTGCATTGGAAGCGAGGGCGCTTACGCGCGACCTCACAGGGCAAACTTACACGCAACATCGGCGCAATCGACCCCGTTTTCTTCAGTCGCTCCCTTGTGACCTCAACAGGTTCACCCAGAGACGTCACCGCCGCTGCCGCAGCTGCTTAGCAGCCCTGACGAAGGAGGGGCGCCTGCCGACGCCTACGACGCCGTTCGACGGCAGCGGCGGCGACCCTCGATGACGACAATGACAACGACAACGACGACAACGACGACGACGACGACGACGACGACGGCACGGCGTTCGACGGCGACGTTCGACAGCGGCGGCGGCGACTTTCGACCACGACGGCACGGACAACGACGGCGGCGGCGGCGGAGCCGCGGACCACGACGACGCCGAGAGGCCGACGCCCCCCGGGCGGACCCGGGCGGCTTGCGGAGCGCTCCGCACGGCACCCAGGAAGTTGCCGTCGAAGTTCCTCGCTGGGCGGGGAGGACGACGACCACGAGAGTGACGCGGAAGAAACTGACGACGACGACGACGACGACGACGACGACGACGACGACGACGACGACGACGACGACGACGGTGGTGGCGGCGGCGGCGGCGGCGGCGAGGGCGACGGCGCTGGCGGTGACGACGACGCCGTCGCCGCCTGCCGCGCCCGCCGCCGCCGTAGACGACTGCGACGACCATGACCGAGACGAAGACCACGACGACGACGATGAAGACGACGACGACGGCACGACGACGACAACGACGGTGACGACGGCGATGTCCTCGCCGAGGAGGGGGAGGAAGAGGGGGGCGAAAGGGGTGGGATCGAAGGTGGGTGGCGGGAGGAAGGTTTAGGAGGAAGAGGGAGGAGGTTGGCCAGGACCCCCTCCTCGCAACGTGCCACCTGCGAGGAGGAAGGTTCCTCCCGCCATCCTTTGCCCCCCACCCTCCCTCTTGCCAGGGAGAGGAGGACGAGCAGGGCCAGAAGAAACGGCAGGAGCAGGAGGGGGGAGACTGGGGAGACTGAGGGAGGGCCCCCCTGAGCCAGCCCAGCACCCCTTGCAGCGCCCTCCTACACCGCACCCTCTGTCCCCTCGGCCCATTTGTTCCCCCCTCTCGCGCGTCCTCTCCCAGGCGCGCTTACCCCTCGGGCACGGCGCCTCCGCAAGAGGGCTGCTCGAACGTTGTCGCTGGCCGGCGGCGAGCTGGATCGAACAGTATGGGCGGCCAGGCCACGACGGGACACGTTCAAAGCGAATTGAAGCACAGAGCTGCTCCGGACACGAGGAACGTACTGAAAAGGCAGGTCGCCCCGCTGCCGAGCACAGCACGTCGCGTCGCTGCCGAACCCAGGATCATGACCAACAGCACAGAGGGAGTCCACAAGGAGCCTGCAAGCATCGCGCAAGGAACCCAAAGGCCAGGCCCAGAACCTCCAAGGAGCCCAACAACCCTACAGGGAAACCTTTTTGTTATGGCATCCAGCAAACATCGGCTACCTGAAACCTCCACGAGGAATCCGAGAGCGCCAGGGGCGGCGCCGGAGGTGCCGCCAGGGGGCTCCAGAAGAAATTCGTGCGGACCTCCGACAGTCTGTTGTCATGCACTTTGCTCTTCCTCGAGTTCCGGAGAGCCCAGAATCGAATCGCTAAGTCGGATCGGCGATCGAAATGAATCGGATCGGCGGAAATCGGCAGCCGAGTCGAGAAGAGTCGAATCGGCGGAAATCGGCGGGCTAGTACGCGTCCAATAAGCAATCGGAACACAAATCGGAATCCCAAGTCGAATCGAATCGGATTCGGCATCCATCGAAATCGAATCGAATCGAATCGGGGAAATCGAAACGAGCCCTGCGCGTGCCTCTTCTGACTTGCCCCCCTCCCCATCCCCCTCCTCCTCTTGGAGTCGTCAGCCCACTCGTTCGGCGCCTGCCAGGTGCCGCTCGGGTGCAGCTCAGCCGTAGGCCCCCTCCCCGGGACCGGCTTCCTTGTTTGGCATATCCTCCTACAGGCGGATCTTGGACGACAAATGAAATCCGCCGACCCTGTCGGCGTGTGTGAGGGGCTTCTCCGTTCGACTCGTCGTCTCCGTCGTCTCCGTTCTCCCCCTCCCAGGGCTCTCCTCCTCAAGCGCGCTATCCAAAGCGAGATGAAAACGACGTCGTAGTGGAGTCGAAGGGAAGCCCCTTCCCTCTGATCCCTTCCCCGCAGGGAGGGGGGAGGGGGGGGGGTGGGAGGGGGGGGGGGCGGGACAGATACGACGCCCGCCGGGGCGCACTTTCCTCGAGCGGGCACGCACGGGATGCACTTCCTCCTCCTCCTGGTCCTCCTGGTCCTCCTCCTCCTTTTCCTCCTCCTCCTCCTCCTGTTCCTCTCCTCCTTCTCCTCTACCTCCTCCTCCTCCCGCAGAGGCGTCCCGGGAGCGGGCCCCGAGTCAAAATACCACCCCCCTAGGGCGCATTTTCCTTGAGCGGGCACGCTCGAGATGCACTTCTTCCTCTTGCGGGAGCACGTCCCAAGTCAGAATATCACACTCCCGGGGCGCACTTTCTTCGAGCGGGCACACAAAGGATGCATTTCCTCTTCCTCCTCCTCCTCCTCCTTCTCCTCCTCCTCCTCCTCCTCCTCCTCCTCCTGCTCCTCCTCCTTTTTCTCCTCCTCCTCCTCCTCCTCCTCCTCATCCTCTGCTTCCTCCCCCCACTCCTAGCTCTTTCGATCAGGGTCGGCGGCACTGGCCGTCAGGCCTCTCCAATATAGTAGCAACAATACTCAGAACATACCCCAACATTTTACAAAAAAAAATCGTCCCCGATTTGTTCTTTGACTTTGTTGGAGTATTCCTCCTGTAGAGGGGCATTGCCCGACTTGAGAGCAAGTCTCTGACAGTCCAGGAGGCGGGGCGAGGGCCCCAGGGAGAAGCCCTAAAAAGTTGCGACGGAAGCCTCCCGCCCGCCAAATGCTGCCACCGCGCGAGCATCCTTCGACCACGCGCAGGAGGGGGTCGGGGGGAGGGGGGAAAGGCTTCTCACAAGGTTTGTGGATGCCACGACAATGGACACACTAACAGTCCTATCGTTGAATTGAACATTTGCTTAACATGTCGGGAACATGTTTCAACAGAGGTTTAACACATACAGCTTAACATGTCGGAAAATGGTTTGAACATTTTAAACACATGTTTCAAAATAGGTTTAACACATGCATTAGACGTCTGGCAAGTATTTGGCAACATGCTTCCTCTCCGTTGATCGTCCCCCCACAACCACACGGAGGCTGCGTCTGAGAGGCAGCCCCCTTCTGGGGAGCAATCCCCCCTCCCCCGACCGCCCTCCGCGCGTGGCTGGGCCCCTCTGGAAGCCCCCGGCGGCGACGAACCTCCCGCCCGCAAACTTCTCTCCCTCCTCCTCCTCCTCCTCCTCCTCTTCTTCTTCTTCCTCCTCCTCCTCCTCCTCCTCCTCCTCCAGCTCTCCTCCTTCCTTCCTCCTCCTCCTCCTCATCCTCCCTCCTCCTCCTCCTCCCTCCTCCCTCCTTCCTCTCCTCTCCTCCTCCTCCTCCTCTCCTCCTCCTCCTCCTCCTCCTCCTCCTCCTCTTCCTCTCTCCTTCCTCTTTCCTCCCTTCTCCCTTCTCCTCCTCCTCCCCTCTCCTCCTTCTCCCCCTCCTTCCTCCTCCGCCTCCTCCCCTCCTCCTCCTCCTCCTCCTCCCTCCCTCCCTCCCTCTCCTCCTCCTCCGCCTCCTCCTCCTCCTCATCCTCCTCCTGCCATCGCGCGAGCATCCTTTGACCACGCGCAGAAAAGTGGTCAGGGGGAGGGGGGGGAGCTTCTCACGAGGAGGCTCCGCCGATCTAGCGTCGGCTTTGCGTCGAGTAGTGTCGATTTAGCGTTGACCAGCGTCGATGCGCGTCGACGCGCAAGAGCCGACGAGATGGTATGGGAGGTACCCGTGAGTTGACACCGAAGGAGGGGGAGGTCAGGCAGGCCTTCCAGACATCTTTCGGCCACGCGCAGAGGGGGGTCAGGGGGAGGGGGAAATGCTTCTCATAAGGAGGCTGTTTCTTAAAAGGCGCTGGCCTTACATCTATAGACAAGGCCAGCGCCTATAAGAAGCATCCCCCTTCTAGGAAGCCTTCCTCCTCCCCCGACCTCCTCTGCACGTGGCAGAACAATGTCTGAAGGCCTGCCTGACCTCCCCCTCCTTCGGTGTCAAATCGTGGGAGCCTCCCATACCATCTTTTCGGCTCTTGCGAAGCCACACTAATCGACGCTAAATCCACGCTAATCGACGCTAGCCGACGTTAAATCGGCGCTGTCTCATTGACCCCCCAGCGCCAATCGACGCTCGTCGACGGTAAAGTCGGACTTGAGAGGGTATATACCCAGCTCCCATGATTTGCTACCGAACCCTCTCCTGGGGTCATGTTGTTCCATCGTACGTAAGGACCACACTCCAGGAATCATTTCGAGCACACGGAAAAGTGTCGAAACAGTGTCGAAACAGTGTCGAACGAGTGTCTCCCAGGGCACGACACGTGAAAACCCTCCGATTTCTGTACTTCCCGGTGCTCGAGAATCTTTCTGGTGATGAAGGCAAAAGTAGGTTGGTACATCATAACCCTGGGTGTCTCCTCCTCTCGAAGTCGTCGCCCCACTCGTTCAGCGCCTGCCAGGTGCCGCTCAGGTGCCGCACGGGCGCGAACCACTGGCGGCCCCTCGCGGACACGCGCGGGGCGCCCAGCCGCCAGCAACCGCCGCCGCCAGCGCCGTCGGATCAAAATCTTCCGGCGATTTGATGTTTTCTGCTTTAGCCCTCGGGGCCCATGTTGTTGTGAAAGCGGTCGGGTTCCGACGATGAGATGTTGTTGAGCCCTGGTCTTGGTGTCGATGGTCCTCAGGGCGTTTGTTGGTGCCAACGTTTGCTGGCCAGCAGACGCTCTTCGATCCGGCGCAGGCGGTGCAACGAGGGCGGACAGAGGCTGCGCCCTATCGGCGGAGCCGAATGAGCCAAACACGCACTTCGGCGCCAGGGCCGTCGTCGGCGTCGTCGTCGTAGGCGTCGTCGGACCAAGACCTCGAGATGATGGGGCTAGCAAATAAGCTTTCGGGCTCGAAGTGCTTGGGCGTTTTAGTCGATTCTCGGTGGTTCTGCAGCCTCGGGATGCTCTCCAGCAGCCGCGGATCGTCGAGATCTCTCCGTGGGTGGCCGAATCGTCCCGAACGGCCGCCAGGAGGCCCGAACTATGACCCGAAAACCGCCAGCTGTCCATTCGACGATCGGAGGGAGAGCAGGAGGAGGAGGAGGAGGAGGAGGAGGAGGAGGAGGAGGAGGAGGGAAAGGAGGAGGAGGAGGAGGAGGAGGAGGAGGAGGAGGAGTCCTGGTGCTTCTTCTTCGATGTCGGCTTCTGGGGGCCGTGGGCGGGCCCCGAGGCCAGCAGACATGGCTCCTGGGCGAGAAACCACTCCCAGGAGAGGGGTCGGGATTCGCAGAAGGCATCTATACACCACCACCGTGCCAAGGCAGGGCCATCCTGGGCCCCAGGATGGCGTATACGCCCCCCTGGCCGAGGCCAAGAGGGTCTATACACGCCATCCTGGGGCCCAGGATGGCCCTGGCCTGGCACGGTGGTGGTGCATAGATGCCTTCATCGGACGGGACCTGGGGGACCGCAGGTTTGAAAACAGATCGGCGGATGTCAGGAGACGGCGCCGTCGGAGGCGTCGTCGTCGGCGGCGGAGGCGTCGCAGGTCGTCGTCGTCGTCGTCGTCGTCGTCGTCGTCGTCGTCGTCGTCGTCGGCATCGGCGTCGGCGTCGGCGTCGTCGTCGTCGGCATCGTCGTCGCCGTCGCCCTGGCCTGCAAGACTCTTGCGCAAACACTCCAAATAAAATCCGCACTTTGCCGCCGTTGCCGTCGTCGTCGTCGTCGGCACGACGACGACGGCAACGAGGACTGCCTCGCCGGTACGAGTTTTCCAATCCGAAGCCCCAAAGGTCCAAACCCTTTCCCCCTTCCCCATGCAGATTTTTCGCCCGGGACCCCTTCTCTGATTGCCCTGGTGGCTTCTGGGGGGCGTTGTCGGGCCCAAAAGCCATCAGAGGAATGGACCCTGGGCGAGAAGCCACCCCCAGGAAAGAAAGGGGTCGGGACCCCTGGGGCCGCAGATTTGAAAACAGATCGGCGGATGCCAGGAGACGGTGTCGTCGGAGGCGTCCTCGTCGTCGACGTCGTTGTCGTCGTCGTCGTCGGCGTCGGGCTCGTCGTCGTCTTCTCCGTCGTCGGCGTCGGGCTCGACGTCGTCGTCTTCGTCATCGAAGTCGTCGTCGGCGTCGTCGTCGTCCTGGCCTGCAAGACGCTCGCGCAAACCCTCCAAAGAAAATCCGCACTTTGCCGCCGCTGCCGTCGTCGTCGTTGTCGTCGGTCGTCGGTACGACGACGACGGCAACGAGGACTGCCACGGCGACCACCACCACCACGACCCGCCGGCGGTACGAGTGCTCCAATCCGAGGCCCCAAAAGTCCCGACCCCATCCCCCTTCCACCTTCCCCATGGCCAACTTTTCGCCCTGGACACGTTCACTGATGGCCCAGGGGGGCGATGAATGGGACCCAGAGGGCCAAACTCGAGGAGGAACGCCCAGATGCCCCCAAACATTTTTTTGCTGGAGGGAGAAGATGAGAGCGGGCAACGTGCTTCCACAACTCGCGCCAAAACGCAGATGCCGCCACACGCCGAAGGCAGAGTCAACAGGCACCGGGGCGAGGCCTACGAGGCACGGCACGGGCGAGAAAACGGCTGCGCTTCAAAACCGCTCTTGTATGCTCATTCTGGGTACCTTCCTGGAGACACTCACTCCACTCTTGCGTCGAAGCTGATGGATCGAACTTGAGTCGAACTTTATTCGAATTTGAGTCGAACTGGGATCGAACTAGAGTCGAACAGATCCGTTAGGTGGGCCCCCATGAAGGTCCCAAGGACAAGCATCTAACCGCCCTCTTCCTCACAAAGCGTGTGGGAAAGATACCCGCCACGGATGCCTCAAAAACATACCGCCAACCACGAGGGACCACGAGGGCGGGCCGCGGTTCGGCCAGGCTGGGCGGGGCTAGGCGCGGGCCGCGGCTGCGGGGGCGGCGAAGGCGGATGCCGACATCCTCGCCGCCGTTCGAGGGCCGAGGATTTCGGACGTCCCCGTGGGTCCTGACGAGCGGTGAGCATCTCCGCATCCGCACCCTCGCGGTCTGGATTCCGAAGGGCGCCATGTTTGGAGGTCTGGAGGCCGCGCCGACCACGATGCCGACGACGAGGACGACGGCCGCGGCGACGACGGCCGCGGCGGGGCATGGCGCCTGGCGGCGCCCGCCTCCTCGCCCGTGGAGTCCGACCCGCCATCGGCCATGCGCGCCAAGGCAGTGGCGGGAGGAAAGGAGGGAGGGAGGGAGGGACCAGAGGAGGAAGAGGAGGAGGAGGGGGAGGAGGCGGAGGAGGAAGGAGAGGGCGAACGAACGAGCGAACAACAGCCGAGAGGCAGTTGGGAGGAGGAGGGAGGAGGGAGGAGGGAGGAGGGAGGGAGGGAGGAGGAGGGAGGAGGGAGGAGGAGGAGGAGGAGGAGGAGGAGGAGGAGGAGGAGGAGCAGGAGGAGGAGGAGGAGGAGGAGGAGAGGAGGGAGGAGGGAGGAGGAGGGAGGGAGGAGGAGGAGGAGGAGGAGGAGAGGGAGGAGGAGGAGAAGGAGCAGGAGGAAGGGAGGGAGCGGGGAGAGGGGCAGGAGGAGAAGAAGCAGGAGGCAAAGGAGGGAGGCAGGGGGGCAGAGGGAGGGAGCGAGGAAGGGAACGAGGGAGGGATGAGGAGAGGACGCAGCAGGCAAACGGCGCCAGGGGGCGGTGTCCGACAGCGTCCTGCACACTTCTGGGCAGCCCCATGCAGAACACCTAGGGATGCAAGGCTTCGTGTAAGGAGGACCGTCTACAGAATTGACTTACCCCCAAAAAATTGTTCGTCGAGTCCACGGATGATGCGTATACTGCTCGTAGATCTGCGAACGGTACGCGCATGTGTCGTAACTCTGACGAACAAATAACTTACACCCGAGAACAAACCCAATCAAGGGATGGTTTTCGCTGAGGAAATCGACTGGAAACCCGGGAGCCCCGGAACCCAGAACCCACCGAAATCGGCAACAAGGAACCCGGGAACCCGGAGCTGGGAACCGGGGAACCCAGCCTGCTGCCAAAATCAGCGGGAATTGTCACCAAGTCTTTCAGCGTCCGCTGGGACCCCTTCAGTGCAAGCAGTCATTGGGGAATCTTAGGGGAACAAAAAGCGACATAAACAGAACAACTCGGAGGTCCGCGCGGATTTCTCGGATCGGCGCTGGAACCCCCTCCCTGGCGCGCTCCGCGCGCCAGGGCGGCGGCGCCGGAGCCGCCGCCGGGGGGCCCCAGCACCGATCCGAGAAATCCGCGCGCACCTCCGAGTTTCTATGTTTATGCCACTTTTTGTTCCCCTACATTTGGGGGGGTGAATCAGGTTTGTAGCCGATCCCCTGCATGGGGACACGCCCGACTGAATCCCAGGGGCGGGGCGCCAGTGTGGTGCGCCGTATCTTGAGCCTCAGTCTTTCAACTTCCGCTGGGACCCCTTCAGTGCAAGCACTCGTTGGGGAATTTTTTTGAGGGGGGAATCCGGTCTGTGGCCGATCCCCTCCTCGAGGGCCGGGCTCTGCGCGCGGGAGCCGTGAGAGCTTTGCCTCGGGGGAGGCGCCTCGCTGGGCGGAGCTCTCCCCTCTGCGGCGGCGGCGGCGGCGGCGAAGCCAGGCCTGCTTGAAGGGCCCTGGAACACACAACACGCATACACACAAGTATAAAAGATTCCCCATATTTTCCAATATTTTCTGGGTTTCTGTCTTCCCCACACTCCCATATTTTCCTGGGAAGGGCGATGAATTGTGTCTGTGTGTTTCTTTCCCTCCTGACTGCTGCCGGGCAGGGAGGGCCGTCCTCTGCTGAGGGCTTCCGGGGAGCGGGGGTCCCGGCCTTCGACTACAGTCGGACTTGACTGGACAGGACACGCGAGGGGACACCAGACCCTTCCGAGGGTCACGCTGCCACAGGAAGGCAGGAGGCACGGGTCGCGAGACACAAGACACGAGGGTACCCTTGACTTGGCAGGGTCGACCTACTCATCCGGGCCGACTGGAGGGGATCGACTACAGAATTGCTGTACCCCGATATTAGTTCCCCGTCGAACCTTAGACAAATCGTGGCACGCTCCGAAATCTACGGAGCACGCTTCGTACTGCTCGTAGCACCCACGGGCAAATCGAGCTCGTGGCGAATCAATTCCGTGTAATCGATCCGTGCGGCCCGAAGGCATCCCGGAGGAACCCCATGCTCTCCAGGCCGCGGCCCTCGCAGCCACGCTTCCTGTCGGGCACAACTCTTGGAGCGCGCGCCGCCGAGGAGGCGCCGCGGCCACACACGCCCGGCGAGCGGGGAGCATGTCGCTCCGCTCCGCTTGCCGTCGCTCGGACGTCCATTTCCTGTGCAGTTTTCGGTTTCGTGCATGTTTTTTTGACTCGATGGTCCAGGATGGTCCTCGATGGTTCTCGCCGAGAAAAAATGCACACGTCCGAGCGATGCCGCGCGGGGCGGGATGCAGGGAAAGGCTCGGAACGCTGGCGCGGACGGGGCGGGGCACGGTGGGCCGGAACGGCGGACGCTCGACGTGGGCACGGCGGCGGCGGGCTCCTCAGGGAGCGCGAGGCCGCGTGTGCGAGGCTCGAAACTATGACAATTGCCCTCGTCTCAGGTCGGGCATGTCCCCCTACAGGCGGATCTCGGGCGATTCTATATATATATATATATATATGTCTGTCTGTGTGTCTGTCTGTATGTCTGTCTGTCTGTATGTCTGCCTGCCTGCCTGCCTGCCTGCCTGCCTGTCTGTATGTATGTATGTATGTATGTATGTATGTATGTATGTGTATATATATAGATGTATATGGGAAAACTCAAATAATGCACCACACTTAAAGCAACACATGCCAAAACAAATCGTCCCCCTGTTGAGGGACATACCCGACTTAACCCTAGTCCCTCGAGTGCGCAGTGAATGCGGCCCCGTCGCACAAAGGGGGGAGCCCAGCTCTCCTCGGGCACGCAGCGCGCAGGCATCCACGCGGCCAGAAGCCGACACTACGCAGTCACAAGGCTGCCACGAGCAGGCCAGTGGTCCAAAACCGATGTGGCCCCGCCTGCTCGCAGCAGTACACCAATATCGCGGCGCTGCTGGGCACGCGGCCTTTCGGCCTCCAAAGGGACAGCGTCCGCGGCGGCGCCGACAGCGAGCCCTGTGCAAAAGGAGCAGGAAGCTGGTTGACATCGTGCAGCTCGTTTCTCCGTGCCCATTGCCGCTCGTGCGGACGAACCGGCGGAGCGACACGCTGCCCGAAAGTCCCCGACCACATCCTGAGGCCCCCTCGCCAGGCGTCCCCGAGCAGCTCTCGCGCCCCCGTCCCGCTCCCCGGGCGCCCCGCGTTCCACCCCTCGGGGGCGGGGCCGGGGAGGCTCCATGGGCCGGCGGAGCGGGGGCGCCGTGGCTTCCGGGCCATGCCTCGGGGAGGAGGAGGAGGAGGAGGAGGAGGGCGAAGGAAGAGGAAGTGGAGGAGGAGGAGGGGGAAGTGAGACGGAGACGGCCTTCCCTGCGTCTTCGGCGACGGCTCAGAAAACTTCTCAGAAGGCCGGGGGACTTGCGAGCCTTCTGAGAAGGACTTCCCTTCTCCTTCTCACTTCTACCCTGGGCTCGCCGCCGAAAGAGCCGGGCGGACAAGAGCAAGAACGAGAAGAGACAAACGGATTCTTGCACATTCCTCGGATCCAGCGGCAAGGCCTGGGCACCGCCATTGTAGCTGCGCAAACAGTGCAGCACCAGACTTCGGAATCTGCCCACCAGAAACGCAGGGGGAGGAGGAGGAGGAGGAGGAGGAGGAGGACGAGGACGAGGAGGTGGTGGAGGAGGAGGAAGAGGAAGAGGAGGAAGAGGAGGAGGAGGAGGAGGAGGCGAAGGAGGAGGAGGAGGAGGAGGAGGGGAGGAGGAGGAGGAGGAGGTGGAGGAGGAGGAGGAGGAGGAGGAGGCGGAGGCGGAGGAGCGTGCCCAGCGGCCGACGACGACGAACAACGGCGACGGTGACGGCGACGGCGACGACGACGACGACGACGCGCGGCCGGGGAGCTCGCGGGCCGCGGCGCGCCGCCGGCCCGGCGGCCGCGCGCCGGCTCTCGAGCCACGCAGCGGCGGGGCTGTGCCAGGCGGGCCCAAAGGCTGTGCAGGGCGCCGCCGGCCCGCCGCCGCCGCCGGGGGCCCACGGCAGCGAGGACGTCGGCGGCCTGGACTTAAGTCGGGCCTGTCCCCCTACAGGGGGATTTTCGGCGAGAAATAAAAGATACCCGAAAAATAGTCCGGGGACTATTTTTGGAGTATTTTTTTACCTTTTTGGGGTATGTTTGGGGTATTTTTATTTTTCGTCGAAAATCCTCCTGTAGGGGGACACGCCCGACATAAGCCTGGAACCTCCAGCCGCGAGGTTGAGCAGGGACCGACCGTCCCGGCATGCCTATGGTCCTGCCGCAAAGAAGTGTTCTCAGAACCCAGACGTGTTCAAAACAAAAACCATGTTGTTACTCCTCCTCCCTCCTCCTCCTCCTCCTCCTCCTCCTCCTCCTCATCCTCAAGTCCTTTTCCTTATGAGTAGCTTCTCCCTGTCGAACCCCGAGGACAGTTTTTAGGACGGGCCTGGCATTTCGCCTGAGACCTCCCCATCAGTTATGACTCTGAAGCTTAAACATGACAACAGTTTCACACATGGAGGGCGGGTGGTTTTCAAAATGTGGTTCTCGCCTTAGCGCGGCGCACATACGTTTGAAAGATTCGCAAGAGTTTCACGTGTTGGGATGGTTTTCAACATGCGATTCTCGCCCTAGCGCGGCGCACATTCGCTTTAAACATTTGCAGGAGTTTCATGGATGCAGGGTTTTCAAAATGCGGCTCTCGCATCAGCGCGGCGCGCATTCGTTTTCACAGTTTGCAAGAGTTTCACAGATGGAGGGCGGGTGGTTTCAAGATTTTGCTCTCGCCTCAGAACGGCGCACATTCGCTTACAACATTCTGAAGAGGACCACGGATTCCCATCAACGTCCCAGAAACAGCGTTCCGGAAGGATTCATAATTATGGGAGTGCAGCGATTACGTTGATTGTCTGTGTTCTGGCACGATTCAGGATCGTCAAGACGCAACAGTCAGGTTGGTCCGGGCGTTGGAATCCCGAGAACAATATGTTGGCATGCTTCAGGGTTTTAAAACGGGTACCTTCCAACGAGGCAGTTCCTCCAATGGAAATGAACCGTTGTAGGGGCCTATGAAGAAGGAGCTTGGAGGGAGGGTTTACTCCAACATCGTTGATGTCACTTGGGTTTACACTGGTCCTCCTCCTCCT